CAAATGCCTTATCTCAAATTTCTCATACTCAAATCAAATTCCTCAAATCTTATACACATACCTCTCAAATCCAATTCCTACATCAAATTCCTCAAATCAAATTCCTCCAATCAAAATCTCTCACATTCTCATATCACTTTTTACTTCTCTTATTGCAGACTCAAAACGACCGGTCGCCCGAAGCAAACGATCGATCGCCAAAGACTCTGCTTGAATTGCATGGATTATCGACTTGGGTGCTACGAATTTCTTGACTCACTTACCAAGTTGGGCATTTGTGAGGTATATGCACCAACTTGAGGAGGAGAGTTGAAGTGAGTCTCCTAATTAATCAAGGAGATTTATTTCCTTGATTAATTAGAGGATTTACTTTCCTATTTTATAGATTTATTTCCTTTGGTTAATTAAGGGATTTACTTTCCTATTTTATATAGTTTTCAAATCATTGTATAATTAGGAGATACTTTCCTAATCCTTTACTGGATTTAATTCCTTGTAAAGCACTCATGTAAACTCTTATATATACCTCCTTATGGAGAAGAATAAAAAAAAGAACATAATACATTCAAACCCATATTCATATTTTAGCAGTTATCTCATATTCGAACTTTACTCCTTTATATTAGGTTAAACTTAAAACATTCCAGAACGGTTGAGGACGAAGAAGATGATTCAACCATGCAATCAGATTACTTAGAAGTTGTGTTAAAAACTTTATAGGCAGCGTGGTTCATTGTAACTATATGGTAAGTTCCAAATTGCTCTTTTTCCATTTGGATTTCCTCATATTGTGAGCCTGTCATTTGCTATTGAGATACCTTACCAAGGCCCAAACAATGATGGATCCAATACCAGTTAAACTCATCCTAACTCCTATGAAACACTATGCTTTGTCTGCCCTATTTGTCAATTTACACTCCTTTTAAATTTTTAATACTTTTTTTTATACGATAAAAGGGAGTGTAAGTAGACAAAAGAGGAGTGGGAAAATCAACTCCCTATATTTTTAAGTAAAAAAATATTTACCATGGTCATCGAATAATTGGCTTTTCTAAAGCATTTTTATTAAATGGAAAAGATTTAATGATACTCATTTAACGAAATAAGATAGGTATGGTATGGGATCAAGAAAACAACGTAATTAACACGTAACAAAATTCAAAACTACACTCTCAAATCCAAATTAATAGGCCTTTATCATAGGTATGGGCCTTGAAAAAATTAAGGAAGGAAATTGTAAGTTACTGTGGGCCTAAAGTGTCAGCGCTTTGGGGGTGAACATTTAAACCAAAAAACTAGTGAACCGAGCTGAACTGAGTCGAAAAGTTGAAATCTAGACCAGTTTGGTTATTACTTTTTGCCACTTAAACCGAGTCTAATTTTCTTTTATTTTTTATTTTTTTTGTATTGTAAAGAGTCGAAGCTCAACTATACTACTAACGTGCCTTGGAGTATTATTTCGCAGGTAAAAGATGTATGTCTCTTAGTAAATTGGAGAAATTTGAAATTTATCATACGTATCGTAAGGTTAATATGGTGGCCGATGCTCTTGCAAATTCATGATAAAAATTTACTCAACCTTGCTTTGATTTCTGGAATATTGGAAATCGAAAATATATATGGGTCTAATTTTGATACATCTTTCCTTTTTATAGTAAAGCATATATATTGTCCAGTCCATGGTATTAGGTAACCTAATAACGATAATATGATAGAGCAGATATGAGTTTGTTCAAGTTGGCTGGAGCGGATGTGCTCCTCATTTTGCACCCAACTTCGGATCCCCCTCCTCATAGTTTAGATCAGATTACAATAAAGTATCACTTATATAAAAAATAAAAATAAAAATAAAACGATATTATGATGGAAAGTTGGACCATACACATGAAGAGAAGCTCACCGAGACAAATTTTAATGCAAGTCCGTGAACTTTGGTTGCCAGGTTGGGAATATCTAAAAAGAGTACAAAGGAGCATACATATGGATACGAATTTAGTAGCTCAGGATGATATTGTATATATCCATAGCTAGACAGCATTGATAGCAATCTTCATCCCAGACTGGCAATGCCCTGGAAAATTGCATATGAAGTAGTTTTGTCCCCTCCCTAGCCTTATTTGGTCCTTTCCGGATTTAAACACCTTTGCACCCTTCGGAGTTGTGCAGCTGCTGTAGCCACCCTTGTCCACAGCTACCACATTGTGCAGTTTTGGATCATAGTTGAACACTGCAAATTCAAGTAATTAATTGCGCTGCAAAAATATATAAAATATATGTCTGGACCCAGTTTTTCTAAATAATTCCTCCAGAATTGTTCTAAATACAATTCCTCAGGCAAGTATAAAATGTCTGGACCCGTTTGGTATAGAATTAAGAAATTGTTCGTCGATTTAAATGTGATATTTCTTTAGACAATACATGTATTAGTAACCTAATTTTAGTTGATTGAAACATTTATGTCCCAAAATATGTCCTCCAAAGGTTTTATGAAGAAAAATAGTGTATAAGAAAAAACTTAGAAGGATTAATGCTTTTGAGTATAACATGTTCAAAAATTGAATTTGGATTCAATTGAACTCTTAAAACAAAGACATATATATATATATATATATATATATATATATATATGACAGCTGCTTAAGGGCTTTTATAAAGTTTCCATACAACATGCCTATTTGAAATCTAATCAAGTGGCAGATATTATGGCTAGACGAGGGGATGCTTCTTCGGCTACTCGTTTTTTGGTTTGAAAATTTTCCAATGATTGTTTTACATTTTGATTCAGATGGTATTAACATCTCTCAGGGGTAGGTCAGAAACTTACAAAGCACATCGCCGGCTCTAAATTGCTTTCCATTGGGCCAGCTATCTGTGTTGAAGCTCCAGCCACCAGAATCTCCGACCCTATAAGTGGCTGCGTTGCTGCATCCCAACTGAACCATTAGGCATAAAACTACCACCACCCCAATGGTTCCTGCACTGCCTCTTCCCTGCTCAGACATCTTACAATTCTCAAACACCAAAGCAGATCAGCTCAGCTTTTTTTTTTTTATGAACCAATAAAGGGCCCAACCTAGCTTCATATAGAGGGTTTCAAAAGCTGATTTATATTTTAGCTGCTTGCTTGAAAATGATTGAACGAAGGCAAAGACAAGGTGATGACTTTTGGGACATGGCAAACAGCTCTGCATTATTAATCTGAGGGTCTGAAGAGAAGTGATCGTACATCCCAAAATTAACTTGTTTACTGCATAACTACTCACGGGCATTTTTTGTAGCTCACCCGTGAACGTTTGCTGGGACCATATAAACTTTTTCTTCTGCTATTTTATTATTCTTTTATATTTATTTTTTGGTTAGAACTTGGAAGCTGAACTTTCCTTTTTTTTTTTTTTTGCGGATTCAAGTCTTTTGTCAATTACACTTCGAACCTCAGTTGTTTGGGGTTAGAACAATTTCATCGGTATTTTTTTTTTTCTTTTTATACACGCACTATTGGAGAGGGAAAACGTTTAAAGTTATGAATTCTTACAATATCAACTCATTTTTAATTTACATATATGTCGCATCGATCACGGACAGACATATGATATACAGACAACAAATAATAAGAACATTTTTTAGGGAAATTCTTAACCTTTTACATAAATTAAAGGCATGAAAGAGACCCCTGTGGCATCAATTTATTGTCGATGTCGGTATAAATACATAGTGGCTCGTAAAAAAATAGCGGCTATCTTGATAATTTGACAGTCAAAGAGGCCAATTGTATAAAAATTTGAAACATTATTAAGGCTTGTTTTTGCTAATTAGTAAAAGATAAGGACCTAACTATTAAATACCTAAACGATAGGGGTTCGAAATGTACGTGGCTTCAATAAGATCCATTTAAATACAACCCACAAGAATTGTGGACTCTCTTCTAACCAAAATCAAATTTTTTTTGGTTTGTCAGTTTCTGAAAGTAAAGTATGAGTAGAATTTGGTCGGGTGCTTTAGAGTTCATATAGTATATGAAGATTTAGTACTGTGAGATATAGTATCCTAATAATTTTTTGTACGAAGGACGCAGGTGAGAGGTGATATGAAGATTTGATTTCATAGGTTCCACCACATCATTCTAGAGGAGGTAATCTAAGAGCCTATTTGGTATCCTATTTGGATCCAATTTTATAAACTCAAAAACATATTTGAAGTCCAAGCTACAAAAACTCATTTGGTATGCCCATTTTTAAAAATTCAAACTTAAGAAAAAACCCCCATTATTAAAAACAACAAAAATGAGGTTTTATATATTTTTTTTTCTCTCTCTCCTCCCGCTCCCGTCTCTTTCTCTCTCCTCCCTCTCCCGTCTCTCTCTCTCTCTCTCTCTCTCTCTCTCTCTTTTGTTAATTTCAATTTGGGAATTTAGGGTTTTTGATTTTCTGATTTTAATTTCGATTTTTTTAGCTCTTAAAAATAGTTTGGAGTTCAATATCAAGCAAGTTTTTAAATCTTAAAATCACTATTTAAAAACTCATGTTTAAAAAAAAAAATATTCATAATTTTGAATTTATTTTTTTCAATAGGATACCTGAATTTCCGAGGCACACATTATCTGCTTTTCTATTTCTTCTACTCAGTCCTGATCTCTTGGACCACACGAGTCCAAGAGATTGTGGTCACCCACCGTTAGTACCAACAGACACTAATTTTTATTTTTTCGACCAAAAAAAAAAAAGGCACCAATTGTTATTTTATTTGTTTTGGTACAAAAGAAGGCCAGAGGCCCAAATACGAGAAAACTAGCCCAAGACATTCCTTGGCCGAGTTATACAACAAATATTACAAAAAAACCTAGAATCCGCGGGAGGAGGAATGGAAATTGTACAGCACATTCTCAAGGGTGAGGCTTAAATTGGAAAACAAGGGCAACCCTTATTGCAAGAGACGTATCATGTGAACTAATTTGACATTATTTCATTTGTTTTTATTTGAGCTCTATTTTAGATTTTTTTTCACACTAAATGAGAAACTGTCATATCACATGTTACATCAGTTGGTAATTAAAAATTAAACAATATATTTATTGACTTTATAAACACAACATCATTTTTTCGCTAATTTTTCCGCTCCTCTAGTTCCGATCATTTTTTTCGTCAATTTGACATTTTTTGGTTTCCCAGGGTATCCCCCGTGCGACTGCGGAGACTAAATCCCTCGAGGTACAGTCAGGCACAAAGCGGGGACCTCTCCCAACAAAGTCTGCTCTATTCGCAAGTGCTTGGGATCGAACTCAAGACCTCTTGTTTAAAGGATCCAAGCCCCTTCCACTTGGACCAACTCATGTTGGTAATTTGACATTTTTCCATATTCATGATATGTGAACAATTTTTTTATATATTTATTTTTTAAACTTTGAGGGAAAGATTCTTCAAGAAAATATCTAAACTCTTACCATGGATATATGAAGTAAATTTCTTTGCTAATTGAGTAAGGCGACCCCACTTCTTAAAAAAAAATGTGATTTAGGGTTAAATAGTTGGGAAAAGCAAAACTTGTGTAATACCCTGAAAAATTCAAAATGGATTTTCATATTTCAGTGAAAAATAATAGTAGGATGGAGAATGATTATGGGTATTTTATCAAGTGATTTTGGATTGAGATTATTAAATTAAGTGTATTTAATTTGAAGTTGGAAAAAAATGACCAAAATACCTATATGTGTGAAATATTACCAAAATACCCTTGTAGGCAAAAATAAAAAATAAAAAATTCTGAAACATGGAGGGCATCAAACCACCCTCCTCCCATTCTTCCCCCCTTGCCTCAAGTTTTCAAATCCACCATTTATGAAAGGATGAGTCACCTATTGTAAATTGATGACTCACTTGGCCTAAGATTCTTCAATCATGAAATTATTCTCTTCCTCCCCATTCCTTGTCATCACTCTCTTCTAAATTGATGACTGACCTAGCCTAAGATTCTTCAATCATGAATTTATTATTATCCTCATCATTCATTGTATCATCACTCTCTTCCTCATTCACACTATTTTCATCCTCATTCTTCTTTTGTTCCTCTTCAAAATCCAAAATTCGTCACTTCCTTGGAGCAACTGAGAACTCAAATATTGAAAGCTCAAATGAGAAAACTTCCTTCATAAAAGTTGTTTATTTACGTGATTCCTATAATATGCTCCAATTTCACCTCAATCCGACTAGTACAGACTCCGAAAAGTTGGTATGATCACAATAAGTTTACCATTTCCTGTTTTCACAGTAGTATGCTCGGTTTCAATATGTCTCTGGGATTTCCTGTACTCAAATGACTTTGGTTCCTTCATCAAAGTTGTTTGAAATGCTGTCTATTATAATATATCAAAAGTTTAGGTTAATCGCACTTCTATAGTCACCTTGGGAACTTTTAGAGTGGAACTTGTTTATAGTCTTCGACCCTAGTTCCTTCCCTCGGTTTCAGTCCAGAACACTCATTTCGAAAGCTCAAAACACTATAGTTTCATCATGATAATTACTCCAAATTCTCCTCTTTATAACATATCCAAAGGTCAGCAAAACGCAACCATTATAACTCTCTAAAAATTGGTATGAACAAAACTTGTTCATTGATTATATTGAATTTTTCTCAAATGGCTTGTTACTTATCATTCCATTGATCAAATTAGCCACTATCATCTCAAGAAAATGATTCTTTGAAGGTATGAATCTCATCTTCATATTGTCTCTTTGATGTACTAGTTGTAAATCAAGTGTTGGTTAGAATGCCTCAATGACATATATCTCTTTCAAAGTGTGTTTCTATGAAGTTCTAGATTATTTCGATGTGATTTTGTACCAATTTCATTTTGGGATTTTGTTACATCAAAGTTGATATCTCAAGGGTTATTTCAAAGTTGGTTTTGTGCCATTTGAATTTAAATTGATTTTTTTTGTGAAATTTCAAAGTAGAGACTATGTTGTTGGAATTGTTCTGATTCTACTGCATGCCCTGTTTTGAATAAGTGTTTGAAAACTTCCTGAACTTGGATTTTCATGAAATTTTAGTATGTTTTACTTTCACGTACTTATTTTCTTCAAATTTGGAAAGTTTTATCCAGTTTGGTTGTAAATTGAAATTTTGGTGAGTTTTCAAAATAAAGTGTACGAACCTGAAAAAAAGAACGTTATGCAGCCTAGTCTGTTTTGACATGCTTCCTTAACCCTAATTTCCATCAAATTTTGACATTTTTAATTTTTCTATGTCTAGTTGTGATTTGAAAATTTTTACATTATTTTGATTTAAACTCAATATTTAGTGAATTTTCAAAGTTAAGGTGTTCCAACCTAAATGGTTAGCAAAACTAAAGTTTTTGTTTTAAATTTTCTTTATAAGTCTAGAGCCGAACCACCTGATTTTAAACATCCCAAAGAGTAGAACTATTATAGGAGGGGAATAGATTGGTTTTTTCTTGAGGCTTGGTTCTATGCTTACTTGGACGTGAGGTTAAGGGAAGTAACGATCGGGTCGAACAACTTGTCAAGCGTATTATGGGGCTTTAGGTCTACGTGCGCTAGTAGGGCACTCAAACGTGTTTCCTTATTTCCAGTGAATTTTAATCAGTAAATTATCTTAACTAGGTGTTCTACTCTGCGTACTTTCGAGGACGAACCCGCACAAGGTTAAGCTAGTTGGACATGAGGTAGGGTTTCCTGATTTCTCGATGATTGGGCTATGTCACTTATAATCTTGGTGCTTATATATAGTATTATAAATATGAATATTATTGTTGCTTTGCTCGATGAATATTATTTGATGTTATGTGAATATTATTATTGATATTTTTCTGTGAAAATTATTTGATGTTGGGTGAATATTATTATTCATGTGATTAAGCCTGATATATTATTGTTATTATCTGTATTATTATTCTATAGAGATAAATGATGTTTGCATTACATATGCATCATAAATACAATGGTGTTTAGGGGGTGTGTGTGTGTCGTTTGAGATATATCTAAGGGGTGGGAGAAGTCCTGTTATTATCTGTATTATTATTCTATAGAGATAAATGATGTTTGCATTACATATGCATCATAAATACAATGGTGTTTAGGGGTGTGTGTGTGTCGTTTGAGATATATCTAAGGGGTGGGAGAAGTCGTTAGATATATCTAAGTAAAAAAATGTGGAATATATTCAGGTGATTGAAGTAGGGCTTGAATATATTGAGGTGATGGGAGAAGGGCTTCTAATGAAAAGTGAAAGTTGAGAAATTCGTAAACAAAAGAAAGATTGGTTAAGGATGGATGGGCGCTAGTTCATATTTTAGGGTATTCGGAGCCACAGTAGTAAAACACATGGTATAGGACATGCAGGCTTGTTGCCCTAGGATATGAATTAGTGGGATTAGAAGGGAGTGAGTTCATGGCATCACCGCATATGCAAATTTATTTATTTGGTTTGATTGCATAATTTATATATCTTGTGATTTTTATGCATGACACTTTGATTAACTATGATAGTTGACCTTGAGGGGTTTGACGGTACTCTACTGGGCATTAGAATGCTCATACCCTAATAAATTATGCAAGATTCAAGATGAAGTTTGAGGAAGTGAGTTTCAACTAAGCTGCTAGACTTTTGTTGCTGATTTGTGTAATTAATGTTTGTAAAAAGTCATCCGCTTGATAAAGATCTTAGTGTGTATTTAACTACGAGCTACTGTGACTTTGATTTTGGTGTTGTTAAGTAAATTTGTATTATTTTGTGGCTCTATTTCTCATCATATCATGGTTGTAAAATTTTATTCTTATGACTATGGTATGACTCACACCATGATTCGGAAATATTCCTTATTTTCGAATCGGGTCGTGGCAAGTTGAGAGTTCTAGAAATTGCTATGCTTTTGTGTGGTTGATGGTGGATGTCTTTGCTTTGTTACAATTTCATTTGACTGAGTCCCGCGGCTAAAGTTAACGTGTTGCTCCTCAAGTTTGGAAACAAAGGAAAGCAGGCTTCCCACCTAGCCAATCCCTTAATTGTCCCAAATTAGTTTTGTATTTAAATTAAACAATTAAGAACCATAATCCAAGGAATTGCGCAAGTCATATAAGTCCGTCTTGATGTAAGTAACAATCATGACAAATCAGATTAGCAGTAAACCCAATACATTGGCTAGTCAAATATGGCGACTTCTTGATTCAATGAATATTACATGAGAAGAAAAAAATGTAGCGGACATATACATATACCAAAGCAGACATTCTTGTAAAGGGGTCAATCAATGAAAGGCTTTTGAAAAAAATATATATATTAGGTCGTAAAACAAGAAAGACATAGAAGATTAAGGGAGCAAATGGTTTTCCATGCAGTAACATCATGCAAATAATTCTGGCTACCTCAAAGGAAGACCTATAAATTATGCCAATTTTCAATGGAGCATAAGTTCAATTATATTTTACGGTTTTATTTATATATATCTCTAGAGATAAAATTAAGAAGTGGTAGTTAGCAAAGGACCCACTAGTGTAGTGGTTTGAAGTAATTGCTCCCTCAGGAAAAGTCATGATGTTGAGTCCTAGCATCCATTTGTAGTGTATGTGAGTTTAGTATTCATGAAAAGTCATGGGTTCGAGTCCTAACATTCGTATATATAGTGTGTGTGAGTTTAGTATGTTATTGCCCCTGTCAATAGGAAAGGTTTTTAAAAAAAAATTGTGACTGATTAAATGGCACATGTGCACAAATTAATCCTGACTATTTCCCACTGAAATTCAGAGATAAAACACAAAAAGTAAGTTTCAAGTCTTCTGTGGAAATTCATGCATCACATCACAGGTATGTACAGTTTCAATATTGATTGCAGAGTTTAAAATTTCAAACTTTCTTTTTGATAGGTATATTTTTCAATGGCATTATATGGATTAATTGCTTGGCTGACAGATCTATTTCTTTTTACTTCACATGCAACTTATAGTTTAAAAAAAACAAAAGGAAATTAAAAATTGGATCCCAAAGAAGATTTGAAGGCTTTGATTGCACAATTGGACATATGAGAAAAAGGAAAATGTAGACATAATAAGTTAAGGGCTAGTAGCTGTAAGGGTTTGCAACTTGCCTTAGAGTGTGCCTAAAATGGGACTTCAAAGAAGGATGACTTTAACAAGTATGAACTTCTTTTCTGGAAAAATATGCAGAGATTTTTCTAAAAGTGATTTTCACTGCTAAAGTGAAAAGGTCAAAGAGTAAAAGATGCAGGTGCCTGCAGGTTCCAGTTGAAAACTATGAAAATGCCATTCTGCTGATGAACATCAATGTAACTTGTCCCAAAAACCATACATACAGCTAGCAACCAAACCAAATCCTGTGTCAGAAAGAGGCAAAATTCAACAACTACAAGCTGCAGCTGCAGCTTGCATGGAGTATTTCAGGGCTCATTATTCATAGACCAATTGAAATGCTAATCCTTTTTGCTACCTGGCATTGATTGAAATGAGACAAATAATATAAAAATCTCACCAACAACTTTTATTATCATTGAGGACAAAATATTAAAGATTTGATTCTTAAAGCCTCAAGCCTAGAGAATATATCATTTGGATTCTTGCAACTACATACTAGAGAGTATGCATAGGTCATAATATATTAAAACTATTACATATATATCCTAAACATCTGCATGCCCTTCTCCCTCTTAAACTACAAGAAAGTTTCAAAATAGATAGAAAGAGAAAGATTAAATTAATTGTGCTTAATTTGGTGCATGATTATTAAGAAGAGATCCCCACACCAAGAAAATCAATGAAGGGAGTTTCCTTGTGATGATCGATCGATTCGTGATCTTGACAATCATGGTCACCAAATTTAGCTGTGGCCGCAACCCTCCATTTTGCCAATGTTGATGCATTGTCACAAAAATTAGCCAACTCTTTCTTGAATGTCCTTCCGTGTTGCTCAGGAAGATTAATGTGATCACCAAGACCGAGGCACCCAAAAGGACTTGGAACATTAACCCTCTTGTAATTTGGAAGCCCAAATGCGCTAGTGGAACCTATGTAGCTGCCATACATGAATGAAGAAGTAGTCGGGTTATTTCTCCGGTGAACGAATTGATGATCCGAACCTTTCGAGCACCCGGAAATATTGTTGTTAGAACTAACATTGTTGAAGTAATCTCTTCTTTCCCTTCCCAATAAACCAACTGAAGATGATGCGGCGTTGTTTGAGGTTGTTGACATTGTAGCAAAGTTCCAATTGTAAGGGGAAGAACTAGTATGCCTTGAATCCATGAACATTGCTGTCCTATCTTTATTTGGGTTTCGGAATTCGAAGAACTTAGTGCTACTATTCTGATCAAACCCAATTGATGCTGAAGATCTCAATTCCCCTTGAGATTTAAATTTCCTGCTTACATCAAAATTGTTGGAAATTGAGGAGGTGTTTGATGAGTGATCATTACAGAAATCTTGGTAGCTTCTCTTCCCACAAACTTTGGACTGCTCTCTTTGTCTTCTTGCCATTATAACATGCCAATGGTTCTTCACAGCATTATCAGTACGGCCTGGAAACAGTCTTGCAATCAGTGCCCACTTGTTTCCATGAATGCGATGTGCTGCTAGCAGCCTCTCTTCTTCTTCCTCACTAAACGGCCTTCGGTTGATTCTCGGATCTAGTTGATTAAACC